TCGCAATGCCTGGCTGAATGGGATGCCTCCTAAAAGTTGCCATCCTAAACACTGCTCCCGTGGCATCCCATTCAGCCAGGCATTGCGAATCAAGAGAATTTGCTCTACTGAAAATACGCAAAATGCTAGACTTGGACAACTACGTAAACATCTAGTTGTTCGAGGATACAATAACAACATCATTGATAGCGCTTTCGAAAGAGCAAACAAAACTAGTCGCCAAGAACTTCTAGAGTACAAAGATAAGAATAAAGCAGCTAACAGAACACCCCTTGTACTCACTTACCATCCTGATTTTAAAAATGTGTCTTCCATTGTTCAGAAGCATTGGAAAATTATAGAAAATGATTCAAATCTTAAAAAAGTATTTTCCTCACCACCAGTCATGGCCTTCAGAAGACATAAAAACATCCGTGACAAATTAGTGACATCTGTATTAGCAAAGCAGCCTACTCCATCTCCCGGTTGCTACAAACAATGTGGTCGAAGGAACTGCTTGTGTTGTAAAGCTGCCAATACAAGCAGTTCTTTCATCAGCTCCGTTACTAAACAAAATTATACCATCTACTCAAATTCCAACTGTAAAACGGAGAACTCAATTTATATATTAACATGTGACACTTGTGGCATTCAGTATGTGGGAGAAACAATGGACAAATTTAATATTCGGCTCAATAACCATCGTTCATGGTACAAAACCAACAAAAACTGTCCTCTCACAAGACATCTTCGTTCAACGAAACATTCTTTTGATAATGTTACTTTCCAAATCATAGAAGTCAACACCGAGTGGGACACCACGGCGAGAAGGAGAAGAGAAAATTTTTGGATCCACCAACTCCACACTTTAGAACCTGATGGTCTTAACGAAAAAGATGAGAAAAGATACAGGAAAGATAAAGAATAATTTAGTACACAGCATCGTCCTTTTTATCCTGTAATATTGGCCAATGGACGTTGCTAACTTCAACTACCAATTTTGTAAAAATCTTGAACTTCATCCAAATTATGTATTATTTTCAAGGCAGCTAAATTCAAGTGCAACATATACATTGAGCTGCGAAAGTTTCTTATCATCTACATCCGATTTCACCTGGATAGATGCACGCTTGATAAAGCTAGTTAGTCTAGCGAAATATTGCGTTTATTTTCATCATTTTGTAAATATTTTAAACATTCTTATATTTACATACTAAATAGTGTGTTAAAATTACATTGTTAGGCAATCTATATATATATATAGCTAGCTAAATAAACAGATACTTTAACAGTTGCAGAAAAAAATCCCATGAGTTACTTTAACAAGATGAAACAGTTGACGTGTCATGTGAGAGAACTAGGCGAGGTCGTATTGATAATGAACCATGAGTTTTATAAGATTTTACTAAAAATTAACAAAACTTTATTTCTTAATTTTTTACCTGGGGAGATATATTTTTTCTATCGGGAAAATTAAGGTGAAGAGAGATAGGAGAAGGGGAAAGAGAAAGGAGGAAAGGGATGAGAGAAGGCAGGCGACTACCCCTTGTCCTCCCTTTCCTATTTGACATGTGTCATAATGTCTCTGGAAGCGTATTCTGTAGAGCTAAACTGGTGCTTTGTGGTAAGAGAATGCAAAATACCTTTTAAAGTTGTCTGTTTTTGCTTTCGGTATATTCAGTGATTGGGTTGTATTAGATCTAAGTTGAATTCTCGTTGTTTTTGTTACATAGATTTTTTTTGAAGGTTATGTTTCTAGAACAGATCTATATAAATATACGCTGTTTCGTCGTATTGTAAACATTGGCGTTAACGGGGAAAATGTGATGAAAAATCTCTTTATTCTTATATAAATAAATGTATTCATGAATGTTGTGGATATTCGAATATTACATTTTGAAAATAGTTAAGAAACAAATAGATTTCTAGAATAAGAAACAAACTTCAAGCACTCGCAATTAAAGCGGTTTGTGTTTGTACCGGCCGACAAAGCAGCCTCTTCTGAACATTTGAAGGTCCCTACTATATATTGTTACCTAAACTACACAAAAAATTCGTAAAATATCGTTTCATCTTAGCCTCTAGTAAGTGTTCTACAACTAATCTTTCAGTGCTTCTCTCTAGTTCCTTTATCTACTATAAAAGAACTTATCATTAACTTTTGTAATAAAACATATGAAAATAGTGGCATTAACTATTTTTCTGGTGTAAAAAATTCTTTGGATGTTTTAGATAAACTACATGCTTTTGATGGTCCTTTTGATTCTGCTGACATTTTTGAATTCATAACTTTTTATACTACACATCCACACAATCTTATCAAACAAAAGATTCCTATTTAATTAAATATAAAGATAAAAAGGAGATGGTCATTTGAAAAATCTCATCATGAAAATATATTTGCTGCAACTCATTTAAAGTCTTTTTCTCTAATGAGAATTGTTGAATTTATCAATAAAATGCAATTTAGACGGGTCTTTACTGAGTTTGGTCATAAACTGTGATTCATAACAGTACAAGAACAAGTCTGCTATTAAAGGGGCGCAATTGGTGCCCATATGAAAAACTAATACACTTACTGGAGGTATGATGAGATGATTTCAAGCTGTCAATTTTTTCCTTGACAACATTTATGTACGTTTCGGCACTAAAGTGTAACAACAGGTTGTAATTATTCCTATGGGCACCAATTGCACCCCTTGTACAGCAGACTTGTGTTCTTGTACTGTTATAAATCACAGTTTATGACAAAACTCAGTAGAAACCAGTCTAAATTGCATTTTATTATAAATTCAATAACAATTCTCATTATCTTGATGATAATTTTTCGCTAAATACTCCAGAATTTTCTAAATATCCTGCCGAAATTTACCCCAAGGAACTTACTTTAAATAAATCAAAAATAAACGGTAATAACTGTTCTTTCCTAGATTTAGATATTTCAGTTTTACACTGGAAACTCTACACAAATATTTACGACAAAGGGACCATTTTTCTTTCCCTATTGTTAATTTTCCTTTTTGGGTGGTGATGTTCCTTTGGCATCATCTTACGGTGTTTCTACATCACAACTCGTTCACTATGCCTGTGTCTGTAGTGACGTTTTGGATTTCAATGAACGTAATCTATGTATAACTGGTAAATAATTAAGTCAGGGATTTCGTCACCACAAATTACTTAAAACCTTTACTAATTTCTTCCATAGATACAAATATTTGGTTTGGAAGTTTGGTTGTACCTGTATGTTGTGCTATAACACCACTGTCCCAGGTTAGGGGAGGGTTGGGCACCCACAAACATGTTTAACCCAGCCACATTCTGAATGTGCCTGTCCCAAGTCAGGATCCTTAATTCAGTGGTTGTTGTTTGTTGATGTATATATTTGTTTTTCGTGCATTGTTTTGTACATAAATAAGGCCGTTAGTTTTCTCGCTTGAATGGTTTTACATTTGTCATTTCAGTGCCTTTTATTGCTCATTGTTGTAGGCCGTACAGTGCCCTGTAGTTGTCAACTTCTATGTTGTTTGGTTTCTGGTGGAGAGTTGTCTCATTGGCAATCATACTACATGTTCTTATCTTTATATTTATTGGAAATTATGGTACATGAAACAATCAGTTATTTCCGACCAATTGCTCTAAGTTATTTTTTTTTTGTTGGGGTGATGTCTCATATATGTATCACACACATTATTTTTTATAATTAATTTTTTTGCCTTGAAATGAAATTATCTGAAAAGTTTATCTGATTACATCCCCACCCCTTTCAAATGTGTTATTTTCTAGTAGCTCTTACCAAGGCCAGTAACTTTTGAAATGTTTTTTTTAAGAGGCAAAATAACTGAAGTCATTCAGTTAACTGATAAAACCATCCTTGATTAAAGTCTTATAAAACCATCCCCGATTAAAGTCTTATAAAACCATCCCTGATTAAAGTCTTATAAAACCATCCTTGATTAAAGTCTTATAAAACCATCCCTGATTAAAGTCTTATAAAAGTCTTATAAAACCATCCCTGATTAAAGTCTTATAAAACCATCCTTGATTAAATTCTTATAAAACCATCCCTGATTAAAGTCTTATAAAACCATCCCTGATTAAAGTCTTATAAAAACATCCCTGATTAAAGTCTTATGAAACGAATAATTTTAATAATAAGGAAATTATTGAACCAATGCATGCATATATACTAAACTAAGTCCTCTATCCATGCTTTTTACATTTATTACGAATCTATAACATATTATCCACAAATAATATTTCATACAGTGATTGTTGATTGCAAGCTGATTAACTTGTGAGTTTGTTGCTGACGTTTAACTGACAGTGTCATTGATAAATAATCAACACAGAATTGTGGAGCACGTGAAAAAAAAAGTGAATTGGTAGCAATGTTTTAATTTTTTTACTCATTAAAATTGAGAATGGGGAATGTGTCAAAGAGACAACAACCCGACCATAGAGCAGACAACATCGTCTATTTGTTAATTTAACTTTTCCACAACAATTGATAGAAGAGTGTATTTAATTTGTTCTTTAAGAATCAATTATTACTGTCTACTTTCCAGTGAATGTTTGTTTACATTCTTTCCCCGCACTTGTGCTGTGCGGTGGTCTAAGTTCTAAGGAGAGTCTCGTAGTTAAGGTAACTGCATAAGGAAAAATATCAGCGAAATAGAGTACAGGAAGACAATAATTTTGTAGTAGTAAATTTCTGAAGATAAAGAATTCTCTTTTATAAGAAAGTCCATGAACACTTGTTTTATAGCCAAACTTAGCCATTCAAGTATAAAAAACAAATTCAACTTTTTTTTAATTTAAGGTATGATATGATTTCTCATGACAATATAGCCACTATCAGACTGCTTAGTTCAACAATGAACTTAGATTGACCCAAAAATTAAAGCCACTATCAGACTACTTAGTTTAACCAGAGGCATATATACACAGTATGTCTCTGGTTTAACAATGGACTAAGATTGACCCAACATTACAGCCACTAGCAGGAGATTAACAAATGATGATTGTGAGATTTTTCTATATTTTATTTTATATATAATAATCTGCAGATAAGTATTAGGTACAGTTCACAACATTTAATTAATACAAAAATCCTTGAGGAAAAATGTGAATATTAAAAACCACAATTATCATAAATACAGGTATTATAACCCCTAAATATTATAAATAACGGGATAAAATCCCTAAATCCATCTACAAATAGACAAAGCCATATCATAATGGGATAGTATCCCCAAATACAAATCAACAAAGCCAAATTCACAATAAAGCTCCAGCTTATATGGCTGATAATATTAAACTGTTTACTGCAGCTTAAATGGCTGAAAACGTCTCAGTGAATGCTCCAGCTAGCAATGCTGATAACAATGCAGTGAATGCTCCAGCTAGCAATGCTGATAACAATTCAGTGAATGCTCCAGCTAGCAATGCTGATAACAATTCAATGAAAACTCCAGCTTGTAAGGCTGAAAAACTCTCAGTAAATGCTCCAGCTTGTAAGGCTTATAACATCTAGGTAAATGTTCCAGCTAGCTATATATATATATATATATATATAGTAAAGCTGATAACCTTGAACTGTCTAGATATAAAAGTCATCTTTATTTACTAATTCATTTGTGGAAAAAAAAACTTTTGATTAATTCTATCACACCCATTTCTAATTATAAAAAAAAAAAAATGAAACAATCCAATAATTTGTCTTCTGTAGAATAATTTTTAGAAAAAAAAGAAAACAAAATAATATTTCTTCTTTTAAAATGTTAGGATGCTGTCTTATTGAACACACAAGTAACAAGCATTCTGGGTAATACACCAAGACATTGTGATTTGTTGATCCAAAACAATGGATATTCAACAAACAATGTGACCTTATTTTAACCTTGGGTTTACACAATAAAACTACTTTGAGTCCTTGAACGGTGAAACGACCAATACACCCTAATATAAACATTGCACACATACATAAATGTAAATTTATAACCTTCAATAAATAATTATTATTGTGGTCTCTTTCATATAATATTAAACATTATTGCAGTAAAAGTGAATTAAACAAAATCCTATACTGTAAGATCATAAATTTTCGTGATGTTTTTATTATTGCGAGAATTGAGACATGATAGGTTTTGCCAAAAAAGTAACTTGCTTTCTAAATTTTTATTGCAATATTTGTATTTTTCAACAATCACAATAGTAAATGCATGTAACTTAACGCTTAAAAATCATTTCTTCTGTTTTCTGTAATTCTTGTCACAATGGATGAGGGTCTGGATGGGGGGTCTTTCATTTCTGTATTCTTTAATTTTTTAAGCCCATCCAGACCCTCATGGATGTAGTGTTAAACACTATACAACCAATCAAACAAAATCTTATTAAAAAGCTTTAAAGTTAAATAGATTAAACAAACTTAACAAATAACTACATATAAAAAATGTTACAAAAAATCAAAAAGAGGAAAACAAGTGAAATAGACCACACTGAACTACTTTAAAACAACAAATAAATTCACAAATCACGATTTTGTTCTGACACATAACTTTTAAAAGGACCGTATGTAAATTTCTTTTCCTATACTTAGTTATTAAGAAAAAAAAATCTCATGGCCAGCCAATGGTCTTAAAGGCAGATATTAATTAGATTTGTCAGTCAAAAATACATTTTCTTCAAATTTAATTGAAAAATCCACTCAATTGTGTCAGACTTTTGGACTGTTATAGTAACAAGATGTGTCAGACATTTCAAATTTGTATTGGTCTAATGATCCAAACTGACAATTTTCGAAAGTCCAGGTTTTATTAATTTTCAGAATCATTCAATAATCTTGCATGAATGGTGCTGAGACAGTTTAATTAAACGCATGGTTTATTCATTTGGAGATGAAGTCGAAGAAATATTCAAATATCTTTATTTTTTTAGTGTATATATAAGATTATGGAGGGTTGGTTGGGAAACCTAGGGATAAAATGTGCCTCTTTCCTTCTAACACCATAGATGAAGTAATAACATGTCAAAATTAGGAAAAAAACCCTCAAAAACCCATACCAAACTAATAAATACAGAAAATTTACAATTGATTTTTACACTACAGCTCGGGAGGATTTTACTTTCTCAATCTGTCCATCCTGGAGAGTCCACTCAATTTTAATAAAAGATTTTATAAAAAATAAATAAATACAATAGCATATCTTATTTTCCTAGGTATTGTATTAAAGTTCGTTTCATGATGTAAGAAAAGAAATGGCAAGTCCTCTTATTATTTGGGCAGAGAGAACCATCTAGATGTGAGAATGGGATAACTCTAGAAAAAGGGAGAGAACTCTAGATAAGGGGAGATTACTATAAGTTCTTATTAGGTGGCAGGTACCAGTTCTTAGCCGCTGTGTCAGTGTTCCACGTAGAAAATTATCATTAAAAAACTTTGGCTATCTTTGTCACTTCACTGGGCAGTGATAAATAAAAGGATTTAAAATTCTCAGTTTCCATTACACAATGCTACCTTCCCTGTTAACATTGATACCTTTGTTTGACATGAAATGGATGGTTTGCCCACCATGGACAGATGGAGACAACAAATCCAAACGAACTGTAATGTACTGGATGGTTTGCCCACCATGGACAGATGGAGACAACAAATCCAAACGAGCTGTAATGTAATGGATGGTTTGCCCACCATGGACAGATGGAGACAACACATCCAAACGAGCTGTAATGTACTTTACAATTTTACAGCAAATTACTCAACAACACATTAATTAGACTAAATAAGGGGAAATAACTCTATAATTAGACTAAATAAATATGTGTAATGTTGTGATGAGAAATACATTGTTATAGTAAATTAAACAAGTCTACAGCATAATTTGTGTATAAATAATCAGCCAATTTTCTATTCTTTTCTTCATTCTCTTTCAAAATATAAACAGTAACGTGAGTTGCTTTCCCTAAATATAAAATATCACAACACTTTGACATATTCAAAAAATGGGAAAATTTCACTATTTCACAATTAAGATGAGATCGTGAAAATATCCCATCTCCTAAATTATATCTGAAAGGTAGATGACAATGATGGACAAGAAAAATCTCATAGTTGTTACCATAGAAATCATAAAATCTACATTCACCAAAATTAATATATTTTAAAGTTGTTCTATGCAACAAACAAGCCAAAAGAGTTGATTACTGATATATAGGTCATTTTTTTTTAATTTCCTGATCAAACAGGAAAATATTATACTTCTGGACTTGGTTACACAAACATCAATTAACAATAAATGAGCTGTGGCGGAAAAAAATCGACCTTATGCAAATGAATATCAATACAACTGTTAAACTATTTCAGGTTGACAAAATCTCTACGGAAAGTCTAAAACTGTTTAAAAATTGAGTTGTTATAGGAACCCTACAAAACAGACCAAAATTTATCTTTTATTTCGTATTTGAATGTTCCAAAATCAATCAAAGTCATAAACATGTACATGTATACTTGCACCTGCATAAAGTCGATTTCTATCCGACGCAGCTCAAATGTCAATTACATTTTAAATCTGTTGTATTTGTCAATCAGTTAATTAAGACTTATAACTTAAATGCCGTTTAATGTAAATTGCGGTTTGTGCAACCTCTACATGATGAATTGAATTGCTAAGAATAATTTCAACTATCTATTGATGTATTTCTTAAGAATTTTAAACAAGTTGAAATGTGGGTTATTGTTCACAAATGATAACCCTGCTTTAAGTATTGGACATACAGGAAGTCTATGAGTCAAAATGATTCATTAATGAGGAGGAAAAACTTCTAAGATAACATAATATAAATTCAGGAAAAACTTCCAAAATAAAGTAATAAAAATTCAGGGAAACACCAAAGATAAAGTAATATAAATTCAAGAAAACACCAAAGATAAAGAAATATAAATTCATTGATCTATTCACAAATAATTTCATTTAAATGATCACAAATAAACTCATTGATCCAATCACAAATAAATTCATTGATCTAGATGTTATACGTTTAATATCACAGATATATCATTATAATTATTAATAAATCAGTCAATTTATGTATATTTACACATTGTTGTATGTGCTATTTAACATGCATTAGTAAGACTTTTCTATTTAAACATACATATAAATAAATGGGGAATGTGTCCATGAGACACAGATGATTCCCCCGCTTGCATATAATGTTATAAAGGGACATAACTCAAGAACAGTAAAAGTGACGCTACCCAAATTTGTACTTGATCTGAGTTTTGTGGTAATAAGCATTGTGTATCAGTTTCATAACATTTGGTTCAGGCAAACTTAAGTTAGATAACAGAAACGAAAAATTCAGCAATTTTTCCATTTGTAAAGGGGCATAACTCTAGAACAGTAAAAGTGACGCCACCAAAATTCAAACTTGATCTGTGTTTTGTGGTAATAAGCATTGTGTTTCATAACATTTGGTTGAGGCAAACTTAAGTTAGAGAACGGAAACCAATTTTAGGACGTACGGACTGACGTACGTACAGACGGACATGGGTAAAACTTAATGCCCCCTCCGCCATGGCGGGGGCATAAAAATACAGTTCATGATACAATCAAATTGAATATTTATCAAAAAGTTAATTTAAAAGATTTATGTAAAGACTACATTCCCTCTTTGTACCGTACAGATCTATGTATATGATGAATACAATATACCTCTAGGTGGATGGCTAAGACGGAGGGATAAAAGTATACTTCCCTTTGTATGGCTTAGAGACATAGAAATATAATACCACCCCATGTATGGCTTAGAGGGAGTCTTAGAAATATTATATACCTTCGTATGTATGGCTTAGCGGGAGGTAGAAATATTATATACATTGTACCTACCCATGTATGGCTTAAGAGGAAAGGGCAGATAAAGATGATACCGTCCAATGTATAGCCTTAATTTATAGAACAACAGGAGAAAATAAAGCATAATTCCCTTATCATAACTTAAAGGAGGGGAAGAAATGCTGCACATCTTATATTCATAGGGAAGGGGTAATGACACATGATCTTAGTGCATTTGACACAACATTTTAATACCTGAGACAGTTAAATTCTTATGTTCCGATTTTGTATGCAAGGGGAAACAACTCCTGGGTAAGAAAAACTGTGTCCCTGCCTATACAGAGCATATGGATCAAGCATGGTATATAGAGTCCATGCTTTTACAGAGAAAATGGGTCAAAAATGATGAAGTGCAAAGGATCTGGCAAAAAAATGATTTGTTAGTGCATCACATATTATCTTTATGGAGGCTGGCCAAATTATAGCCATTTTTATCAATAAAAATTCAAAATTTATTTGATATTGTAAATTAGTGAGAATTAAAGATTGCGACATTAATAAACAATAGGAAACAGATTTGTACAGAAAAATGAGTGAAAACTATAGATGTTAAATAATTGGAGATAATTGTCATACTTTGTTGTTACAATGGTGTTAATAATACTTAAACAAAACACCAACAAAGGTCTGTTTGACACAAAACTTTACACCAACAAAGGTCTGTTTGACACAAAACTTTACACCAACAAAGGTCTGTTTGACACAAAACTTTACACCAACAAAGGTCTGTTTGACACAAAACTTTACACCAACAAAGGTCTGTTTGACACAAAACTTTACACCAACAAAGGTCTGTTTGACACAAACTTTACACAAACAAAGGTCTGTTTGACAGAATATAATTACCTACAAATGTGATCAAGGTCTGTTCAACTATGTTAAATTATCGATAAATGAAATAAATTTTCAAAGAATTAGAAAGGCAGTGTATTATGTTTAAAATTTTCCACTACATTATAATTAGTACAGACTTATTCAAATAAGAAATTCATCCTGACACTTTGTCTGTATAAAGGCCATATGTCATTCCTGACTTAGATGTCCTTTTGACCCTGCTTCGATGTCAACTCTACAAATGGGACATTTTTTGTTGGTGACTAACCACTGATCAACACACTCTATGTGGAATAAATGCATACATGGTAATCTCCTGAAAAAGAAGATAACAAAATGGTCAATATCTCAGAAACGTTTATTTCAACAATTTTCATAAATATATTATAAGCTTGTAAGTTACACAGATAATTTAAATTCTGTTTCACAAGAATGTTTAAAAAGCAATGAGGAATCTGACCAATGCATTAAAATTTATCACATGATTAGCGGATTAAATGGAAAATCCCTAAAAAAATTTTAAAGTCTTTTGGTCTAATGTCAAGGTCATACAGAAAAAATTTGAGTGATATGTTTATAATGAGTTGTGTAAATCAAGAAGTTCCATAACTAGACCATTGGTATTTAGCTTCAATGATCAGTTATGTTTCTGTTTATAAAGAAGAACATATGATAAACAATTAATATTTAGTTTTATGTTGTAGACTAATATTGAGGTTTTTTTATGAATGAGTTACAAGGTCAAATCTTTGAACAGTCAACACTGGCTATGACGTATTCACATTAGCATTGTGACAACAGAAATGTACAGGAAAATGCATGTATGTTAAAGTCTAATACTTGCATCCTTGCATTGCAATTTCAAGCCGGGAAGTTATGCTTTATTTGCGTTGAAATTTTCAGAATTGGCAGACGAGCGAGTAAAACACTATGTAACAAGGGGTATAAAGAGTAATAATGCTTCAAACGATTCATTCGTTTTAAGCAATACAAAAACAATATCAAAATTAGTCTTGAAATGAAATAGTTACAAGAATTCAATTTTTGATGAAATTAAACAAAATTTTAATTTAGGACCCTTTGGACCTCAATGTGGTATTATATAATTAATAATGAAAATAAATACAGGTTTAGATTCAGCATTTCAAAGAACCCTATTTATATTCAATTTATGTTGAAATCAAACACAGTTTAATTTTGGACCCCGATTTGGACCAACTTGAAAACTCGGCCCAAATCAGAAATCTAAATATATATGTTTATTAATAGAATATAAGCTTAAGTTTTTAAAGGAGTTTGCTTCATCAAAAATATATATATATAGCATTCAGAAAATTGGTTTATACAGAATAACAAACAAACCTACCACAAAATTATTCAAAACAATTTACCAAAGAAAATAAAATAAAAATCCAAAATGTCATTTATCATTAATACAATGTCTTTTTAAAATCTATAAAACTTATCTGTAAGTGTAATCAAACTTTATATAAACCCACCCGCCCTCCCACCGTACATCCCCAAATCATTTTTCCTTCGAAAATCCAGTTAAAAATTAAAGGGATTAATGCAAATTGAAAGGTTCATAGCCCATAAACTAACAAACCTATTTATATATGAAACAAAACAAAAAGTTGTATCATATATTCATATACTGTCTAACCTAGTTGAGTCGAAGTCTAAGGGACCGGACCAAAGTATTCGACTCATCCGAGGTCGAGTGTGTCGTCATAAATTTGGAATGCATGAAATACGGTATGAAGTTTGTGTAAACTAGATACAATGAATAGTGTGCCTTTTTTTTCGATATGACACTTTATGATTGTGTATTCAATTTCCATTTTTCGTCCTTCGTAATAATTAAACACACAAGTACAGATACAAATCATGCACAAATAAAATCAATAGTCTACACAAATATTTACAAAAGTCAGTCACTATAAATTATGAAATCACTCGCGGCACGAAATAAGTTCTGAACGGTCTCTGATGAGGTCGTCTGCTTTACATTAAATTATCATGAATTTATTATAATTGTCCTAATCCTTTTATTTATTGTAATTAATGAGTTTTAAATCTAACGATTCATTTAATCTCAGCTTGGGTCATTTAAATTCATTTCATTTTTATCTCAGGTGAAAAATGTTCAACACATTAACATTCCACTTGAACGATCAACAAAAGTGTTAATGAACAGTCACCATAAACATGTCATTTTAACTGTTATACAAACAAGAATGTTAACTCAGCTTTAATCTCTTTTGAAAATGATTAGGTGACATAAGAAATACATCCGATTTTAATTTTTATCATTAGGCCTGCAACTTTCAAAAATTTTTACTTTTGAACTTTGAGACATCGGGGTCAATTTACATTAATTTATTTCGACGGGACTATACAATTTACTCAACTTAACAGAGTATTCGAATCAACCGAGTTCAAATCATCAGAGGTAATTATGCATTGATCAAACGGGAATTTTACTGGGACCAAGAAATTACTTCGACTCATCCGAGTTTTCAACACAACTGAGTTCGACAGGAGGTTCAACTGTATCTTAATTGTAGAATTTATTCAAGCTGATATCTAATCAAACTAGGTTGCATGCCATGTGACACAATACTGAATTTTGATTTGAGGATATAAATAAAACAAACCTGACATCTTCTCCATCTTCAAACTCACTCAAACAGATGGTGCATTTCTCCTGAAGATTGTCGTCTACATCAGAATCCATTTTCTTTGTGACCTATCAATGTAAAATTAAAATTGTTATGCTTTATGTTTCAACGGATATACCTGCTTGTTCCTGAACTTTACCTTTTGCCAACATATGGAAGTTCTATTTGGTCCACTACAGAAAAATTTACCTGTGTGTACATATATGGAATAGAAATTTGTTCACTACAGGAAACTGTACTTTTGGGTATATATATATATATGTATGTAGAGGAATATTTTGTTCACTATAAAAACTTTACCATTTAACTCACATGTTGAAGTGTATTTTGTTAATTTCAAGAATTTTGACATTTCACAAATATATGGAAGTTAATTTTATTCACTAAAAAAAACCTTAAATACTTTTATACATATGCGGAAGTGTATTTGGTTCACTAGACAACTTTACCATTTAACACATATGTGATAGTGTATTTTGTTCACAACAGAAAGCTACCTTATTAGGTGCATATATTATGGAAATGCATTCTGTTCACTACAGATAACTTCAATACCCTTTTATATTTGTTCACCTACAGTAATCTCCCTTTTTAGATGCATATGTGGAGGTGTATATTGTTCACTACACAAAACTTAACCCTTTTGTGTACATAAGTGATATCCTATTATGTTAAGTACAGAAACCTTTACCTTTTTATGTGTGTGTGTGGAAATGTCTTTTGTTCACTACACAAAACTTTACAATTTGAAAATATGTGTGTGCAAGTGTATTCTGTTCAGTACAGAAAACTTTACCTTTTTTCAAACTGAGTGGAAGAGTATTTTGTTCACTACAGAAAGCTTTACTTTATATGTGTGTGGAAGTGAATTTTGTTCACTACAGAAAGCTTTACTTTATATGTGTGTGGAAGTGAATTTTGTTCACTACAGAAAGCTTTACTTTATATGTGTGTGGAAGTGAATTTTGTTCACTACAGAAAGCTTTACTTTATATGTGTGTGGAAGTGAATTTTGTTCACTACAGAAAAGTTTACTTTAAAATACATGTGTGGAAGTGTATTTTGTTTATTACAGAGAACTTTACCTTTTTAGATGTTTGTTGAAGTGTATTTTGTTCACTACAGAAAACTCTACTATATATGTGTGTGGAAGTGTATTTTGTTCACTACAGCAAACTTTACCTTTTTATACGTATGTGGAAGTGTATTTTGTTCAATAACATCTTGACTAGCACCACGATTTACATTACCAAGTCTTTCTTCCAGGTGTAAAAGTTCCTATGATAAATAATAAGAATAAGTAATGTTTTCTATATAAACAAATTAAGAGGAGCTAGATTTTACTAATATTTCATATTGTTATACTTATAACCATGGTTTTGTCATCTCAAATTCTATATTTGGGAGTAAGGCAAGTTTTTTAGCTGATAGTAATTGTATTCTTATCTTTACTTTTTTGTTATAAATTAATTACTTAAAAATATGAGAGGTAGGGTTAAGTATTCACAAAACTTTCAGAAAGGCAGTTTGTTTCAGCACCCACCACCCAGACAATTGTTATTGAGAATCATAGTGCATTATAGTGTGAAAAGTTGCCCTGATACCCATCACCCATGTAATATTAATATAAAGAGCCTTCCAACACCCCCCTTTACATTTTTTTCTGGAATAGCCCATATCGTTACTGATTAAGATACCAAACATTCCATAACAGTTATTACCTTTAATGCTGATAACATTGATGAAGTTTGGGGTATTAATTAGTTTCCCCACTTAATGATGAGGTTACTAGGCTTCTTATTAAAGTTTAAACAGATGGAATGGGTCAATTTTTATATGTCAAATATATGAATGGGTCATATTTCACAATGTTTACATATCAATGGGTAAGAAATGTTCATCTTCTTATCAGATATCTGTATATAAAGACTGCATGTGATTAATGAAACTAATATCAACACAAGTGAAATAATTCCTCTTTAGTCTATTTCAAGTCTTTGTAAAAGATTGTAGGGGTCTTGGTGGCTAAGAGGTTTAAGTAGTTCAACTACTGTTTCACTAGCTTCTCTACCTAGCGGTTGTGAGTTCGAGCCCAACATGTGGTCAGTGGGTTCGACTCCAATCTTAATTGACTAGGATAGTCAGTTTTTCTGCCGAAGGTCGGTGGTTCCCTCTGGGTCCTCCACCCATAAAATAAGCCATCAAATACCTAACAGTGCTGAAAGTGGCATTAAACACCAAAAATCAAATCAAATCAAAGATTGTATATGTGATAACTGAAAAATATATGAATTGGTCATAATTTTTTATTGAAACATATGTAATGGATTTTCAGAAAACTTCAATATATGAAAATGGGTTGTTTTTTCATATCTATAGCCTACATAGCAAGACCCTCATGGGTAGTCAAGGTGGTTAATCACACCCCCTAGTAATATCCAGCTACAAGTCTGAACCCAAATCTTATGTTGGGACCCCTCTATGAAGTATGATGCAGTTAACACAGGAGGGATATTAAGCTGCATAAACCTTACTTTGAGGAAAAAGGCTCCATTCTCAATTTTATCTTTGAGGATTTGAATTGAAAAATATTCTTTCATGTGTCATTATATTCCCCTGCCTGTAGTAATGGAAAATCAAATCTTATATAACAGTATACAGTGGTAAATACCTCATAAGACGGTCTGTGATGTAACATCATTCCTCTCAATCTCATTTGCATATTACGTGGAAGATTTAACATCGGACTCATTGGCGGTGGAATGTACTAAAAAGACAGAAACCAAGTTTTGTTACAATCACTGGATTCATTTATACTAGGTTAAAAAAAAACTATATTCTGTTGTTTTCTTGACTCACAGAAAATTAAAATGACTAGTTTTGACACATTTTATTACCAATGTATTGAATATATACAACCAAGCTGATGAAACTGTCAATGTATCAAAGTTTGAGAACATGATTCCTGTAACCATTAAAATAAAATTTGACTCTTCATTCATTTTAGTCATTTTCAAATTAGAACAAACCATTCCCTTTCATCCAATCAAACCAAAACATTTCCTTTAATCAAATCAGAACAAACCATTTCCTTTCATCCAATCAGAATAAACCATTTCCTTTCATCCAATGAGAATAAAACATGTCCTTTCATCAATCTCTCATCTTTTTATGCTCGTTTTGTACAAACTTGTCATGCCCAGAATCTGTATGTTATTATATGTAAAGATATCTTTCTTTGTACCATTAACTTGGTTTTATAAGAAATAAAGAATCTTAGAATCTTAGAACAAACCATTTCCTTTCATCCAATCCCATTTACTTCTACCGTCAAGCCTACTACAAAATAGCCAAGGAGATTGGTAGAAGATAACATAAAGATTTCCTGCAGAGTTCAACAGGAACCTATACAGCACCAAAACTACCATGTACAGGTTTGTCCTAATACCAGCATAAAAATAGGTTTAAAAGTCTCTGACCTGTACTCATTTGTGTAGAGGACTTTACTCTGGGAGGTACTTACCATGGGAGGGAGGTCTGTTGATGGCAGTATTGCTGGTACAGAGAACGGATGAAGTCGGGGAGGATGGTAGTGTAGATGATGATGTAGATGTTGATGCTGTAAATGCTGTGGAAGAGGATTCATCTGATTCTGTCCACTGAAAAACAAATTAAAAACAATGAAGTAAAACTACTGCCTTGATCTGGCTGTGAGTGTAAAGGGAACACAGACTTTAAGATGAAGAACTGAACTTGCTGTGAGATGAATCTTTTATTTATACATGTTACAGGGAACACTGCGACTCTAAGATGAAGAACAGCAACAATATAGATACTGTTTTGCTATTTGTTTTGTCAAGTGTTTGTAGTTATTTTGTAAATTTACAAACCTAATTCTTTCCTTTCAATAACAAGATTTTTAGGAAATAAATTAACAGATTTCTAGGAAATAAATATCGCAGAGGGTTGGAATTTGTGTATTTAATTTATAATCGAGGTGAGGAAAGGAAAAGGGGGGATGGGGGTAGTATAAATCAGTTGTTACGATTTTTTCTAATGCTAGCACAACTTTTGATATTGCTGTCACTGTGGTTAATAATGCTAACACCACTTAAATATAGCAGTTACCATGGTAACTAATGCTAGCATAACTATAATATTGCTGTTACAATGGTTTTAAATGCTAGCACTACTTTTAATATTGCTGTTACCATGGTTACTAATGCCATCAAAATTTTTAATGTTGCTGTAGGGTCCAGGTTTTTATTTACTTTCAAGTTACTTTTGAGATGATTCACAGCTATCTTAAACTTCAAAACAGAGGACTTACAGCCATCTTAAACTTTTTATAAATAATTTAATGTTTTTTTCAAGAATTTTATGGATAGTTGTCCATATACACCACAGTCATAAGATTCCCTTTTTATAGATCAGGATCACTTATTGCATTTAGAATGTTTCATTTTTATAGCAGAACCACTTTTTTTTTAGACAGTAACAAAAGGTTAAGGGTCATGACTGTCAAAATGTTGGTGAGCACTGAAGGATAAAGATTGCATTGAGGAAACTGTATTTAAGGAATAACAGTACTGTAGTTGAAGATTTGCTGCTGTCAATTGACGATTTGATGGTCGCAAATGCAGTTTTACTGGTGAGGCATAGCCATTTTTATAATATATATATATATATATATTGTGAGAAATTATATATATTAATTCTGTTTCATATGAATGTTTAAAATGCATGAATGAAATGGTTTATTGCAAACATATAAGTGATTTAAAGATTTCAGTTCTGTGTAAAACATACCACATTCTTCCAGCAAGGTCCACAGGTCCCTGCTGGGGTCTATTGTCTGTTCCACATGAATTCCCTTGATTAGGTGGTGGCACCATTGGTCCTTGCCATGGGGACCAGGTCATCTGAGAAGGCTGAGAGTTTGGTATGTGACAAGTGTCACCACTGACTTGTGGCTGTTGTGGCATTGGTTGGTGCTGGAACAGTGGTGGCCCTTCGATGTTCCTGGCCTGTAACTCCATAGGCTGGTGGTGCACAATAAACGGCAGTATTGGTGGCAGGGGAAATGCCCCTGGGTGATAGTGGTGATGATGAATGTGAGCTCGTGGGGGTAAAGGTGGAGGTTGGGGGTGGGGGTGGGGATGTACTGGCGTCTGGTGGTGGTGGGTGTGATGGAAACTTCCTGGGTTGCCATGGTCACAGGAACCTGAAATTTATAGACAAATTATCAAAATATTAATGAAAATACAAGTACTGTGGATTCATTTATTTTCGTGGATATCAATTTTCGTGGATTGAGGAAAACTTACATTTTCGTAGATATTTAATTTCATGGTGTTGCCAAAGTCGGCATACAAGGCTATAGAAAATTTGTAATTCGTTGAACATTTAAATTCATGGTTCACCTGTTCCAACGAAATCAACAAATAATAATGAATCCACAGTACCAGAAAATTTAAATTAAACCATGGTCACATTAAATAGAAATATTTATTATATAGTTTGAATAGAAATACAAAGTAAACGAACATTTTAATTGTGATTTTGATAAGAAAATTTACTCTTGAATACATTTTCTGGTATTTTGAACTCGGATTTTGATTTGGTTTCTACTCATATTTGTTGTGTATTTAAGTGTACTTTTGTCAGTCAACCAATCAAATTGTGTGCTACAAATACATCTGTCTGTCAGTTTTACATATTGTCAGCACTTCACTAGTGTGTCTTCATTCTAAAGAGATTTTTTTTTTTGCAGTACTTTAAACAACCATTATGATTCAAAGCAAATGTATGATCCGTGTATTAACCACGCTCACTGTTTACTTACCAGTGCAATGTCCATGTGCATGTGAGGTAGGCAGATGTCCGTGATGGGTGTGGTGACCACGCCCACTGTTTGGCTGATGTGGAAGATGCATGTGTGAATGGACAGGTTCATGTAAACACCTGGCACATCCACATGGAGGTCTGTTTATATGCTGCATGAAGGCCTGACGCCTCTGTCTCTGTTAAAATAAAGAAACATGGTGTTTATTCATATGCATCATTAAGGCCTGATGCCTCTGTCTCTGCTAAACAGAGAAATGGATGTTTATAAATATGCCTCATGTAGGCCTGTCCCCTCTGTCTCTGTTAAAATAAAGAGAACTGGATGTTTATAAATATGCCTTATGAAGTCCTGACGCCTCCGTCTCTGTTAAAATAAAGAAACATGGTGTTTATTCATATGCATCATTAAGGCCTGATGCCTCTGTCTTAAAATAAAGAGAAATGGATGTTTATTCATATGCTGCACGAAGGCTTGACACCTCTGTCTCTGTTAAAACAAAGAGAAATAGATGTTTATTCATATGCATCACGAAGGCCTGATGACTCTGTAAACAAGCATTCTGAGAGTATTGCATGGCAATACATAGTCCCCTACCGGGTAAAAATTCATTTTACTGGAACAAAATGCTAACTTGTTCTATAACTTGTCATGGTGTAAACAAAAAGTAAATATCATGTCAATATCTTCAAGCATGACTATAAAAACTGTGGAAAACTGATTATATGAGTGAAAATAACATTAGATATGATTAATAGTTCTCTAAAATTAGATATGATGTAATACAGTGTATATCTATTTTCAAATCATAATCAAATATAATTAATAGTTCCAAATATTTTTTCTTTCATTTGTCACAAACTAATATAGATTTGTAACTTATCTATAAAATGTCAACAACTTTTATCAACACAATGTAATGTATTGAAATATATACATTAATAAAAATAGATTATTATCTAATTAAAGGATTTCTCTTCATAATTTTTTTTTATATATATAGCATTCAGAAAATTAGTTTATACTAAATAACAAACAAACCTGCCAAAACATTCTTCAAATAATTTAACAAAGAATTTCTTTTAAAAAATGAGTTATCTCCCTTTGTACAGAAATATGGTTTAACATAGTACTCTAACATTAGATATGGTCCAGAGTTATGGTCCATAACTCTGGACTAAATCATCAGACCAGAACAAAATTCGAACTTGATCTATAACTTGTCATGATAAAACTATATACCAAATATCAAATCAATATCTTCAAGAACGAAGAAAAAAAGTGTGGAAAGCTGATTTGCCGGACTGACGGATGGACAGACGGACAGATGGACAGAGTGCAAACCTAAAGTCCCCTTCGACTTCGTCGGTAGGGGACTAAAAACAAAGAACAGTGTTCCAATGTCCCCTGCCTATTCATAATTTTATCTAAACAAAGGCAATAGTTTTGGCTGTTTTTTTACTTTTTCATAACTAAAATGTAGGCTTGAGATCACAGACAGTGTTACTTTCCACTTAGCTTCTATTTTCAAGGGATGTAACTCCTGTAAAAAATGTTGATCCACATGGATTATATAACTCTTCCAAGACCTGGCAGATATAAACCTTTTGTTATCAATGTAATAAAAGTCTGACAAGAAATGTAAGTGTGAGAGTGGTTACAATGCATTGTTCAATATAAATTTCATTTCAAAGGGACATAATTCCTGTAAAAAAAATTCATTGAGTACTAATTTACCATGGAAATAAAGTATATAAAACACAAGGAACTATGTCTTTTTCTTCTCACTCTAAATTGGTTTTCAGACATCTTCTTTAACAACCACTTGACAACACCCGTTGTTGTATGAAGTCAGAAGAGTAAAATGATCAGATTTATTTCACTTGTGACATTGTCACTTGTTCTTCATGTTACTTCATAGCAACCAGTGTAATAAGTACAAATCATCTCATTTCAGTCATTTTAACAATTATTGTAAATTAATGGTTTTTCATGTACCTGTTGACAATTATGCCCACATGACTGTCTATCATGGTCATGTGACCTGCAGCCTCCTTGAGATACTCTGGGGTCTACATGAACATGAGCAGGGGGTGGCTGTCTCCAAGCCTGTCTTGGCATTCTTGGTATTCCATTGAACATTCCTGGAGTTGTCTGTTCTTGATTTGTGTTGTTGTCATGGTTACTAGAGGTAGGTGTGTCCTTAGCAACTTCTGATGATTGGACAACAGGAGGAACATCTACTGGCGTTGCCATGGTCTGAGCCTCTACAGGATCAGCTGAAAAATATAAAGGTCAGGATATAATTGTCATGTACTATATTGGGAATTGTGACCAAAGGTGAAGATATAATTATTGTGGTATTTTGTAAATTGTGGTCAAAGGTGGTGATATAATTATCTTGTCATATTAACTGAATTGTGGTCAAGGATGACGACATGGTAAATTGTGGAAATATTGCTCAGTGAGATGCCATGGTTTTTGTGATGATGACATGGTTTTTGTGAGAGTTGACAAGTGTGATGATGCCATGGTTTTTGTGAGAGTTGCCAACTGTGATGATGCCAAGGTTTTTGTGAGAGTTGACAAGTGTGATGATGCCATGGTTTTTGTGAGAGTTGCCAGCTGTGATGATGACATGGTTTTTGTGAGAGTTGCCAACTGTGATGATGACATGGTTTTTGTGAGAGTTGCCAACTGTGATGATGCCATGGTTTTTGTGAGAGTTGACAAGTGTGATGATGACAAGGTTTTTGTGAGAGTTGCCAACTGTGATGATATGGTTTTTGTGAGAGTTGACAAGTGTGATGATGACATGGTTTTTGTGAGAGTTGCCAACTGTGATGATGCCATGGTTTTTATGAGAGTTGACAAGTGTGATGATGACAAGGTTTTTCAAAGAGTTTCCAAGGGTGATATTATGTCATGTTATATGTGAAGAGTGAATGTATTGCCAAGGTTCATGACATGCCAAGGTAATTTTTGACGATGTTGCCAAGGGTGATTACATGTTATGGCAATTGGGGACGATGTTGCAAAAGGTGATTACACGTTATGGTAATTTGTGATGACGTTGCTAAGGGTGATTATATGTTATGGCAATTTGTAAAGATGTTGCTAAGGGTGATTATATGTTAGGCCAATTAAAATTAATTGATAGATTTTCATCCCCGCCCACCCCAATTTTTTTTATTTTTAAAAATTTATGATTTCCGGATTTTGTTCATTTCCATTACAGGTAACCACTGATAATTTCGTTTCATTCAAAACTTCCTGTTTCAAATTTCGGTTTTTTGTATTTCTTCAAGTAATATAACCAAAATGATTAAGTCCACATATTCTGCTGCTCAATGATGACAACATTATCTTCTGAGAATATAGATTGATTACTAGAAGGGCATAAACTATTCGGGTTATGAATAATAGGTGGTGTCTTAGAACGCTTATCGCAGTATGTCACAAATTTCAGTGATTGGAAAACCGTGGATTTTTTTGTTTATACAATGAACTTTGTGTCAGGAAATTTGGACTGTGAATGATATCCAAAGCGCAAGAATCGTGGAACACATTGGTACAAAAAGCAGAGTCAAAAACATGACTGGAATAAAATAATTGACACAAGCATGAACTTGTGCAATTTATGACCGTATATTGAGTACAAAGAGTCAGCCAACGTACAATATGTATTATAGCTAGCCCTTAGATTTACCCCAAGGCTGTCGTTTTTGTTGACAAACATCAAACACCCTCTGTCCCCATCCCCTTAATAGAGTCATTAAACAACTTCTTCTTTTTGGTTCAGTTCATGTTTAACATTGTAATTATATTTGCACCTTGCATAAAAATCTTCAAAGCATCAACCCTAGTATTTTAAACACAGTTTAAAACCCTAGTATTTTAAACACAGTTAGATGCATCAACTCTAGTATTTTAAACACAGTTTGATGCATCAACCCTAGTATTTTAAACACAGTTTGATGCATCAACCCTAGTATTTTAAACACAGTTTGAGTTTTCATTTCACTCTGTACTCATAATATTTCTGTTGCATACTAATGCATATATGCTTCATTTTATGGGCACTACAATCATAGCTTAAAAGAAAAATAAATTTGATGTAGGTAGTCTAAAAGAGAACATTTCTCCATGTTTTTGCTATTTATTAAAAATAGGTTTCTCAAGCGGCCATTACATGTAGAACAGTGGTTGCCAATCAGAAATATTAATTTAAGAATTTGAAAATAATGTAGAATTCCTTATATGTACATGATATAAGATTATTATTACCCTTGTATATGAACAACACGTTACAAAAGGGTTTAGAAGGAAATAAAAATTAAAAAATAAAATCCTCCCATCTGCCCCTTTTTTTTCAAAAATCTGGATGAAAATCTACTAATTAATTTTAGTTGGCCTTATGGCAATTTGTGATGATGTTGCCAAAGGGTGATGACAGCAATGGTTATTTATAATTTGTGATCATGGGTGATAATGACTGATTTTGTGAGAGCTTGCCATTTCGTAAGACTTGATTATATAATAACAATCTGGACGAAACTAACTGGAGTGACAAGATAGGAAATTTTGAGGACGTCGATGATATGTGTGATGAATTTACGAAAATATTTTTGGAAATAGCTAGGGAATGTATACCCACAAAGAAAATAACAATAAGATATAGACTACCTACATCAAATTTATTTTTCTTTTAAGCTATGATTGTAGTGCCCATAAAATGAAGCATATATGCATTAGTATGCAACAGAAATATTATGAGTACAGAGTGAAATGAAAACTCAAACTGTGTTTAAAATACTTGACAAACCTTGGTTCAATAATCAATTAAGAAAGGAAATTAGAACTCGCGATAGGTTACGGAAAACAGTTCTAAAAAATAATAAAGAAAGTGATAAAATAAGATTTAAAAAACAAAGAAATAAGGTAAATAATATGAAAAAAACTGCCCGAGAGAATTTTGAAAAAAATTTGGATAATTTTTTACTGGATAATTCCAGTCCTAAAAATTACTGGAAAATAATGAAGATGTTAATAAAATCTAATAAGGGGAATAACTCAATTCCACCAATTCAAAATATAAATAATGAGCCAAATTTTGACCATATTGTATATGACGATACTGACAAATGTGAACTAATGAATAAATACTTCGCGTCAATATCAAAACTTGAGGAACAAAATGTTGAGATGCCCCCATTTGAGAATAGAACGGAAAGTATGATTAGTGATATTCAAATAACAGAGAGTGAAATAGTCGATATACTTCTTACTCTTGATCCTAAAAAAGCATCTGGGCCAGACAAAATCAGTCACAGGATGCTTAAAATATCCCCCCAAAAAATTGCAAAACCCCTTAAAATTATATTTAATAAATCCCTGTCCCAAGGTAAATACCCTTCTTCATGGAAAATAGCCAATGTAATTACCATATTTAAGAAAGCAGATGCATCCCTACCATCTAATTATCGACCGATATCCCTAATTAGCTGTGTAGGAAAAGTAATGGAGAGGGTAGTCTACAAACATATTTATAACCATCTACATAGGAACAAACTTATTTATATGTATCAGTCAGGATTTTTACCTAAACATTCAGCTGTACATCAACTTATTGAACTTTATAACACAATATTAAATTCTCTTGAAAAAAAAGAATTCAGTTGCTTCGTTTTCTGTGATTTTTCCAAAGCATTTGATAAAGTATGGCATAATGGACTTATATATAAAATGAATTCTTATGGAATAAAGGGAAATTTACTTGCATGGACTAAAAATTATCTTTTTCAAAGAAAACAAAAAGTAGTTATTAGAGATTCGTCTTCGTCATTGTCCATTGTTTCTGCGGGGGTCCCCCAAGGCTCTGTTCTCGGTCCCCTTTTATTTTTGCTGTATATAAATGATATTGGCGAAAATTTAATTTCACTGACAAGACTTTTTGCTGATGATACGTCGTTGGGATATTCCACCGCAAGCATTACAGACTTAGAGGTAGTAGTTAATCATGATTTAAACAAACTCAATGATTGGTCAAAAAATTGGTTAATGTCCTTTAACCCAGATAAAACGGAAATAATGATTTGCTCAAATACTAAGATTCCAAGTAATTTAAGTTTTTCTTTTAATGGAAGATCAATATCTAACACATCAAGTCATAAACACTTAGGTGTAACTCTCTCCCAGGACGCAAAGTGGAATGAGCACGTAGAAAATATTTCCAAAAATATAACAAAGCATTTAGGAGTCTTAAGAAAATTAAAATTTAAGATGAAAAGACAGAACTTAGAAAAAATGTATCTGGTATATATTCGTCCTATATTTGAGTATGCTTGCGAAGTGTGGGACAATTGTGGTATTTGCTATTCAAACAAATTAGAAAAACTTCAACTGCAAGCTGCGAGGATTGTAACAGGACTGCCAATATTTACTAAAACCGAATATTTATATTTAGAGACTGGCTGGGAACCCCTTCACAGTAGGAGGCACAGAAGAAAACTCCAATTATTTTATAATATGTACAATGGTCTCGCTCCACAATATTTATGTGATTTAATTCCCCCAACTATACAAAGTACAACTGTTTATCCACTGCGTAATGGCAATGACTTAATAGTCCCCTTTTGTCGACTCTCCTTAACAAATTCTGCATTTATTCCCTCGTCCATCAGAGAATGGAACAAACTTGATAATTCTATCCGTACACTTGATACCCTATCTAAGTTCAAACGCTATTTGTTGAATAAAACATACGAAGCAAAGACTGTACCTAAGCATTTTATGTATGGTCCGCGGAAATTGAGTGTAATTTTAACACAGCTGCGATGTTCAGCCTCATTTCTAAATAACGACCTATTTGAATCAAATATAATACAAAGTCCATATTGTGCTTGTGGCGCTCCGCGTGAGGATTCATTTCATTTCTTCTTTAATTGCAATAAATACGCCGATATAAGGAACGATCTATTAACCAACATTCATCGTCTACAAGTGACAATAAATCTACAGTTGCTCACTGAGGGTAGCCAAACTTTAACATACGAGGAAAACTGTGAAATCTTTAAAGAAGTCTTTAGATATATAAAAAAATCAAAAAGATTCCTTGTAGTATAATCAAATAAGATATGACTGAACAAAAAACATCGTGTCCACAGAATTTCATTTATTTTTTTTTCTTTATATTTGTATTATTTCCTATTTTTTCTTTTTTTTTCTTTTATTTATATTTTTTCTTTTCTTTTCTTTTTCTCAATTCTCTATCCTTTTCCTTGTTAATTGCGTTAGGCTTTTTTTTTTTTTTTTTTTTTCTTTCTTTCTTTTTCTTCTCTGACTGTGCAAATGCCTCATTTTACTATTACCTTTAATATATATATATATACTGAACTGTGCATGCTCTGTATAATTGTTATTGTAATATTATGTAAAGGAGAAGACTTCATAAGTTGGTTAAACTTGTGTCCGATCCTTTTTGTATCTATGAGCAAATAAAATCGTTATAAACTAAACTATATAATACCTTGGAAAAATAAGAAAAGCTGTTGTATTCAATATTTCTACTGAATGTAATGTTTAATTTGAAATGACATGAAAGGGCTTTCCACAGGAGGTAGTGTAGATTGGTGATAATATATATTACTACATGTATATGAAATTTTGCAATTAGTTGTCAAGGGTGATATGATGATATTTTCTGCAGCCAAATAACATACCATCGTCTGATTCTGTAAGATCTACAACAACAGTAGCACGACCATTAGACTCTAATCTTCTCCTCGGTCTACAAAACATAAACAAAAATAATATCTACATACACATGTACATGTATCTAATGACTTATTTTCCACTTCTTATTAAAAAAGCTATGAAAACGAACCATTAATTCATAGCCATATTACTTACTACATGTATGCTAAATTCTGTAACTTCAACATTCATACCTATCATGGCTATTAAGTTTAAATAACATGGATAAAGTGAAAGACATTTCATTTCAAAACTAAACCTCATCCTGGATTGTGCTGAAAAATGAACATACCTTTAATTGCACTGGTTCCTGGAAGTTTGGTAGTACAAAAACAGGTACTTTTGATCTGAGCAACAGGCCAAATATGACTATTATTTAAAAGAAACTTTCAACAAGGATTCTACAGTGATCCCTGTGCCTTAAGCTTTTGTTTGATACCATGTAAATTATATGCTACTTCTATGTGACAGTAATCATGGTAATAACTGATGTCATCTGATTTTTTTTTTTAATTTTGAAAGGTAAACAGTAAAGCAGGAGCTAAACAAATTCAATGTTAGCCACTTCCTGTATAATGTGTATTCAACTCAGTCAAAAATGGTCAAGTGTCTATATGAATATTTTTTTTCATTTAACTTATGTTTTACAGCATATAAAGTGTGAAAAAAAACAAAATGTACTATTGATGTGGTAACAAATTTCAATGTTACTTAGCACAGGATATAAATATTTGTCCTTCCTTTCTTTACCTAAATCTCTCATACATAAACTTTACATTCCACAACAGTACTTATAAACATGACAGATGATAAAATTAATTCAAACCTGTTTGTCTCGATATGTAGCACTTCTACATCACTGTCCTCTGAACCTGATGATAAATTGACCTCTGGTACAACAGGTGATTGACCTCTGAACTCAAAGGATTCTTGACCCTGTTCATTATTGTCACCAGCTGTCCCTACAGAATCTTCCCCATTTGTGTTTTTATTTTGTTGGTAGCGTCTGAAGGCTGACCTTGACATTTCATACATAGACATTGGCTGACCTTGACCTTCATCCATGTCCATAAGAAGTTCAGAATTAGCACCCGTGTTAGAAGATGGCGTGGTTTGAATTTGTTCATTAAGTGCACGACTTCGAGAAGATTCACTAGAGAGATCTAAACCAGAGACCTGATGACTTGGGCCACGTTGTTGCCATGGTTTTCTAGCACATGGTCGACACATGGGTCCACTATGTTCACCAAAGGGATGAATAACTGAACAATGATCAGAATTGTTATTAATACTAGGAACTTCTCCGTGGAAAGCACTCAATCTGTCACCACGATAAAGATGATTAATCACTGATGAATCAGAAGAATCTGAAAACAGATCATTGTGTGGAGGCTCCCTCTGGTGGAAGGGTACATTACGATGTCTATTGAATTGACGACTGTCGTTTCCACTTGTTCTATCTTCTGGACGAACGTGATAATGCTGATTAGAACGGACTGAAGCAGGAGTTGGAAGATTAAACAGAGAATAAGGATTGAGTGAGTCATACAGTCTACTGTCCTGATTATCATCTGAAGGTTCCACTCGGGGGGCAATGTTACAATTCTCTCTAATTACTGGTTGTCGAGGGTTACCATGACGACAGGGTCGAGGACCTATCCATGATCTTTCACCTGTATCACTGTCTTCTGATGAGTACATTTCAACAACGTCCTGATGTCTCAGATCTGATAAATGTCCCATATACGATCTGAAATTCTCTGTCATGTTAGTGGGAGGTAACTCCGTAGTCACCATTTCTGTACTGTGAATATCTGTCGCTGGTATTGCTGGTGCTGCATTTATTTCATCTGTAAAAAAAATCAAGTTAAATATCAAATAAATGTAATCTGATTCAAAATTCAATTATTCTATAAAAAAACTTGTATGAAGTATCTACATGATCTATACATGCTATACTGAGTAAAAAAAGTTAAGCAACAAATATTTTTATTTAGTTTCATATTTCAAAAATAAAATCTACTTCTAAAAAATAACAATAAATACATGATTGTAACAAAGAAAATAAACCATAAAGGTAAATAAGTTACCCTGATGAGTCTGGTCAAACGTTTAAAGGTAAATAAGTTACCCTGGCGAGTCTGGTCAAACCTTTAATGGTAAATAAGTTACCCTGATGAGTCTGGTCAAACCTTTAGAGGTAAATAAGTTACCCTGATGAGTCTGGTCAAACATTTAGAGGTAAATAAGTTACCCTGATGAGTCTGGTCAAACATTTAGAGGTAAATAAGTTACCCTGATGAGTCTGGTCAAACATTTAACGGTAAATAAATTACCCTGATGAGTCTGGTCAAACGTTTAGAGGTAAATAAGTTACCCTGATGAGTCTGGTCAAACATTTAAAAATAGAGTGTGATAAGAAAAAGTGATACGAAATCTGCGTTTAATTTGATTGGCGTATCCAGCATCATGAGACGATATAACGACTTTTCCATTGGCTATTCATTAGGTTGAAATTAATGTTCTCTTATGGTTGTGGCCTGTTATCTATTTCTTGCATGATGAGATATTTCTACTCTGTGTAGTGTGATATGAAAAAGTGATATGAAAACTGTGTTAATTTGATTGGCTTATCCAGCATCATGAGACAATATTACGACATTTCCATTAGCTATTCGTTACCTATAAATTAACTATAAATGCCTGAATTTAGATTTCTTCATTTACAAGAGTGCACATGCTGAAATGTCTCGTCTGTTTTACTCACCATTGAATTTATGTTGAAGGTCTTAAAAATAAATGTTTTACTACAAGTATCACATAAACTTAACATTTTTAAAAATCCATGACAATGAGGTCAAGGTCAGATAAAAACTGTCACACAGACATATACACCTTACAATTATTCCATACACCAAATATAGTTGACCCATCAGGGGTGTGGAAATATTTGTTGTGACCACTTGTCCCCGGGCAAGTAAAATTGTAAATTTTACTTTTCCGAAAGTAAAGTTACTTGCCCTGATTTCTTAATGAATTTTGGAATGAAGAAGATGTATTTTTCTGTTAACATGTGTTTCAAAAACAGTTCTGAAACACAACAAAAAAGGAATGCATGGTCTTTGTTTGTATGTTATAATGATACAAAGATTAGTAGAGCATGTATACACCAATGAGCTACATTGTAGAAACCATCCCCAAAACAACACTAAATTAAAGAATCTAGAGGCCTGGACCTAGGAGATTATATCATGACTTATAGTTTATTCATGGTGAGCCAGTGCAAAGTTTTCTAGTTAATGAAGAGATGAAACCAAATTAATGATGAATTATTGAATTGTTGTATGCACCCCCTCCTTATCCTCCCAATAAACTTTTGGTGGACCAATTGTAAATTTGAGATTTTTTAGATAACTAATTATAAGTGAAATCAAAATATTATAGATTAGAACTTTAAAATCCTCTATTCTGTTTATTTTTATAATATTTGCGCTTTGCTGCCTCTGATTTCCCTTTCTTGTAAAAACTAAGTTCTGAGCTCAAAATTTTATTTTTTATGAGGCGCCTCCTTTTCCGTTGGTCAACTTCCGAGAGATGACCTATCCAATGGTTATCCAACTTGACTGAGAAATCGGTGCTCGAAATTAATAATGATCATTTCCGGTTTACCGTTGCTATAACCTCATCAACGATCCCGGGTCAATGGGAAAATATTACAGAATATTAATGAAACCCCGGTCCGCATACTTATTTTTTGTTGTTTGGTAATCGATCTTTTTCTTGATCATTGATGTTGTTTTACTAAAACATGTTGCTTTCGTCTTGTTATTTTATATTTTTTCTTCTTTTATGAATGAATTTTGAGGACTTTTTTTTATATGATAATATAAATTAACAATGTGACTTTGTCAAGCAACATTTTTTAACTTGTCCACGGACAACAAAGACACAAAAAATTGCTTGTCCGGTCGGTAAAATGTACGAGTCGGGCGAATCGGGCATGGCATTTCCACACCCCTGCCCATTCATGCCATTGCTTATGGTAATTGAAAAACAGACCAAAACACAAAAACTTAATGTTAACCAATGAACCATGAAAATGTGGTCAAGGTCAGATGATACCAGCTAGACAGACATGTACACCTTACAATCATTCCATACAACAATTATAGTTGACCTATTGCTTACATTACTTGAAAAACAGACCATAACACAAAAACTTAACATTGACCAATGAACCATGAAAATGAGGTCACGGTCATATGACACCAGCAAGACAGACATGTACACCTTACAATCATTCCATACACCAAATATAGTTGACCTATTGCTTACAGTACTTGAAAAACAGACCAAAACACAATATATTAACAATGACCAATAAACCATGAAAATGAGGTCAAGGTCAGATGACACCTGCTATACAGACATGTACACCTTACAATCATTCCATAAACAAAATATAGTTGACCTACTGCTTACAGTACTGGAAAAACAGACGAAAACACAAAAACTTAACATTGACCAATGAACCATGAATATGAGGTCACGGTTATATGACACCAGCTAGACAGACATGTACACCTCACAATCATTCCATACACCAAATATGGTTGACCTATTGCTTACAGTACTTGAAAAACAGACCAAAACACAAAAAATTAACAATGACCAATGAACCATGAAAATGAAGTCAAGGTCAGATGAAACCTGCCAGTCTGACATGTACCCCTTACAATCATTCCATACACCACATATAGTTGACCTGCTGCTTGTAGTATCTGAGAAACGAACCTAATCACGTAACTTTAACCTTGATCACTGATCCATGAATTGAGGCTGAGTTCAGGTTAACCCTGTCTGATGGACATGTAAATGTTGCAAGGAACCCATATACCAAATATAGTTATCCTATTACTCATAATAAGTGAGAAATTCACATGACAAAAAACTGTTTCTTTTCAAGCATTCACTGAACCATGAAAATGAAGTCAAAGACAATTGACATATGACAGATGGAAACTTCGTAACATAAGGTTTCTGCATACAAGGTATGAGGCATCCAGGTCTTTTACTTTCTGAAATATAAAGCTGTATACAAACAGTTTATGCTGCCGCCGCCGGATAGTTATACCTATGTCTCGCATACTGCGACTTTCGTTGCAGGTGAGACAAAAATCTCTTGGACTCTTTTTGTCTAATCATAAACTGATAGTTGATGGTGTTATCGGGTACTCTCTTAAGTCTACAATTAACAACTGAGTTAACCCATAATTTAAAGTTTCTAATAAATAAAAGGCAGTGGTATAATTCAATTAGGCAGAAACTTGATGACACAAATAACCTGTTGACATAGATATGTCTCACCTGTATGTAATCATGGTCATAGATATGTCTCACCTGTATGTAATCATGGAAATTCTAATCATAAAATGCAAATATTGACATATAAATGGAAATACTTTAACATGTTTACTATGCAAAACATTTGAGGTGCAGGGCCCATATGATATGAGATGTGCTAATGCTTATACAATTGAAAGCCAAATATTGATTTAACATGCATGTTTAACATCACTACTGGTTCATCTTAAACTGACCTTATCTCAATCTTTAACATTTTTTTATGTAGCTCATGCCAGGAACAGCAAACCTAAATCTTGTCTTTGAGACTTGGTAATTACAATATAATACAAAGAACAATTGTTATTTATAAGTCTTTGAAATTCCAAGATTATAAAGGTAAAGATAACTAGATTTTTCAAGATAAGAAAGGTGAAACATTAATTGTGTGAACTATCATGACTATACAGAAATTTTAGTAAAATAACCAAAAACCTACATGTAATGCTCAAATTAAAATGCCATTTTTATTTCTTGAGGATTTTTTTTTTTTTTAACTTAAGGATTTATAAAAAAAAAAACATCAGTTTTCATGGACTTAACACCAATGATACAATTAGAAGTGGAATATGACAGTCTGGCTCTGTTAGAGTGTCCTCTATTTCATATATTATTGTACACGTTACATACATACATGTAGTAAATTTATGAATGATCACACATAATTTCACAAAAATTGTATTTTAGGCACATGATATGGAATTCAAGTAATTTAACGTTCTTAAATTTTTAATCATCATTTTCAGGAACTTTCAAGGATTTCAAAGACCTCTGTTAGATAAGTTACTCTGGTCAAAGGTAAATAGATAACCCTGATGAGTCAGGTCAACGGTAAATAGGTAACCCTGATGAGTCAGGTCAAAGGTAAATAGGTAACCCTGCTGAGTCAGGTCAAAGGTAAATAGGTAACCCTGCTGAGTCGGGTCAAAGGTAAATAGGTAACCCTGCTGAGTCGGGTCAAAGGTAAATAGGTAACCCTGCTGAGTCGGGTCAAAGGTGAATAGGTAACCCTGCTGAGTCAGGTCAAAGGTAAATAGGTAACCCTGCTGAGTCGGGTCAAAGGTGAATAGGTAACCCTGCTGAGTCGGGTCAAAGGTAAATAGGTAACCCTGCTGAGTCAGCATAGGTAAACAGGTAACCCTGATGAGTCGGGTCAAAGGTAAACAGGTAACCCTGATGAGTCGGGTCAAAGGTAAACAGGTAACCCTGATGAGTCGGGTCAAAGGTAAACAGGTAACCCTGATGAGTCGGGTCAAAGGTAAACAGGTAACCCTGATGAGTCGGGTCAAAGTTAACAGGTAACCCTGCTGAGTCAGGTCAAAGGTAAATAGATAACCCTGCTGAGTCAGGTCAAAGGTAAATAGATAACCCTGCTGAGTCAGGTCAACGGTAAATAGGTAACCCTGATGAGTCAGGTCAAAGGTAAATAGGTAACCCTGCTGAGTCAGGTCAAAGGTAAATAGGTAACCCTGCTGAGTCAGGTCAAAGGTAAATAGGTAACCCTGCTGAGTCGGGTCAAAGGTAAATAGATAACCTTGAGGAGTTTGGTCAAAATTTGCTTGAACTATTGCACATTTGTTCTCACCCTCTGTGCTGTGTGGTGTTGAAGTAGTTTCCATGGAAACCTCATTGTTTTCAGTCCAAACTCCAGTTCCTTCTGCCAAATCTGTAAATTAGAAATTACACTATAGTTATAAACATGGATTAAGTTGTTTCCAACAGTGGGAGTCTAGTTCTAGATTTAGTCATTTACACCATTTGGAGTCTAGAATTTTGTACAAATTGATATTTTCTCATCCAATATAACAATATGTGTTTTAGGTTTCCTTATATTCAATATTTCATATACATGATATATATATATATATATATATATCTTTATTTCCTCCAATAATGAAGAGCATTAATTAGATCGATAGTGAAAGTAAAGGTGGAAGATAGGACAGTATATTTACAAACAATATATCAAAATTAACCTTTACATAAATATATAAACGTGAAGAATGCGTAACCAGAGAAGAAAATTAAATGTTTATCAGCCTAAGAAAGTAGCAATGTTCACACAGTAGAATCTTTTACACAAATTATTGTCCAATATGTAGAAATTGTTCCATTCATTCAATTCAAGTCGCACACATCCAGTATATGTTTGTGATGCAGGCCTTTTGAAACATAGTCCGTTCATCTTCGTCTAGATCGAAGTCTGTATGACATGATAAGATGCATGCTAAAAAGTCTTCGTCAGTTAAACTATGTAGATAAGCACTGAATTTGATTGGACCTATATCTATTAAATCACACCAAAACTTGTCCCTTTTTGACTGGAAAGTTTCACAAGAGAGTACGATGTGAATAGTTATATCACCGAAAAACCTTCCGCATTTGTCACACAGAAAATATGGTTCTTCGTATGGACGGGTTAAGGTACATAGCAGTGATATTGTTTGCCTCAGATTACAGCCGAAATACGGCCGATTCCCCTATAGAAAATTCCCAATTACTAAAAAAAATGGCTTAAAATTCCTCCCAAAAAAGTTTTACATTTTCCCCAAACAGTGATGGCATTGGTAGTAATGTTTGGAAATATCGTACTCATGTTATTATTTTGATATAAGAAAGCACTTTTGAGATCCGGTTTTCTCATCAGAATCATCATGGTGTTTGTAACACATGTGGTTTTCAATGCATTAAGTACCATCATTGCTTCTGTTTCTTTCCCCTCTCTGAAAAGTACCTTTCAGGTTGAAAATGTCTGACAACCAAAATATACATGAAAACAACAGTGCAAAAAAGACAGCAAAGGTCAGCAAAAAATCGGAGATGTGTTTAGAATAAAATTTCCAAATTTCCCCGATTTCCATAAAAAATATGCATTTTTCCCAATAAAAAACGGTAGAGGTAGTTTTGAAAAAAGACAACAATATCACTGCATAGATTGACAATAAAACGGCACTGTTCTATAAGTAATGGATGTTTTCGGCTAAAAGTCCAAGCAGGATGAAGACCTTTTGAAAGTGTATGTATACAACTGAAGAATTTAAGAAGTCCAGCGACTTTTCATTTTTGGCAATGGCAAGTCATACATTGCTATATATTTTTATTATTTCAGTCTCCATGACAAAATAGAGTAAGGAAATGACAATAAACTTATAGAATTTATAAACTTTGATTATAATATGATGATATATCTTGAGTTGATACGACAGTTCATAATCTTCATGCATTTTTGGACCCACCAGTTTTGAAAATGATGATGCTAGACAGATTTTCATGAGTCTGAGACTCATCTACTTGCCTTAGTCATGTTAGCAAAAAAATGGTAAGTGAGAACCCTGCCCAAGTAAAAAAAGCTTGCAAAATAAACCTATTTTTCTACATAATTATCTTAAAGTTTAACATGCGGCACATATTTATCATTTTTAGGTAACAATATACAAACCTATAGTTTGTTCTGCAATAGCCTCAACCTGTGCTGTTACTATGTCCTCCACCAAGTTTCCCGTAATAATTGGGTTACCCCCCTTAGAATCTTCATCCATGATGATACTGTCATTCTCGTCCTGTATAAAATAAGATGAGATATCTAACATAATATAATACTATATATAAATAAAATGCTCCGCAGGGCGCAGCTTGATACGACCGCAGAGGTCGAACCCTGAACAGTTGGGGCAAGTATGGACACAACATTCAAGCTTGATACAGCTCTGAATTTGGATTGTGATTAAATATTTGACACAGCATAGGTTTCTGACACAGAATGAATGTTGTCTAAGAACTTAAAAATTTTAAATTGGACATTCACCTATTATGGTCCAATATCCAAAATCTAAATACATGGTTAGATTCAGCATATCAAAGAACCCCAAGAATTCAATTTTTGATGAAATCAAACAAAGTTTAATTTTGGACCCTTTTGACCTCAATGTGGAGAAAGTTGATAACGGGGCCCAAAAATCAAAAATCTAAGTACATGGTTAGATTCAGCATATCAAAGAACCCCATATATTCAGTTTTTGTTGAAATCAAACAAAGTTTAATTTTGGACCCCAATTTGGACCAACTTGAAAACTGGGCCCATAATAAAAAATCTAAATACATGTTTAGATTCAGCATATCAAAGAACCCTAAAATTTAAATTTTTGTTAAAATCAAACTAAGTTTAATTTTGGACCCTTTGGACCTTAATGTAGACCAATTTGAAAACGAAACCAAAAATTAAGAATCTAAATACACGGTTAGATTCGGCATATCAAAGAACCCCAATAATTCAATTTTTGATGAAATCAAACAAAGTTAAATTTTGGACCCTTTGGACCTCAATGTGGACCAATTTAAAAACGGGGCCCAAAATCCAAAAACTTAATACATGGTTAGATTCAGCATATTAAAGAACCCCAAGAATTCAAGAATAAAACCCCATTGAAATTGATCAAGTAATAAACAATTTATACGAAGTATCTTCTTTTGCACAATACTGTGCAATTGAATATTTCTTGCTATTGCGCAATACTGTACAATTGACAATTTCTTGCTATTGCGCAATATTGTGCTATTGGATATTTCTTGCTATTGCGCAATACTGTGCAATTGAAGATTTCTTGCTATTGCGCAATACTGTGCAATTGAAGATTTCTTGCTATTGTGCAATACTGTGCAATTGAAAATTTCTTGCTATTGCACAATACTTATTATATAATAATTTACACATCCTGTTTGGTGTGTATCTCCTACCATATCATTATTATTTGCTTTTAAATATAAATCAGAAATAACCAACTTAAAATGGAAAATTTTAAAAGAAAAAAAAAAGGAAAAAAAGAAAAACAAAGAAAAAAAAAAAATCCCCCCCCCCAAATTTTTTGAACCCCCTTATTATTCATCAACCCCAAACTCAATCCTAGCCTTCCCTTTGAGGTATGGTACCTTGCAGTACAATTTCAGAGAGATCCATACACTTGAACACAAGTTATTGTCTGGAAACTAGAAAAATGCTTATTTTTGGCCCCTTTTTGGCCCCCTATTCCTAAACGTTTTGGGCAACACTACAAAAGTCAAAAAGTCTGAAAAGACCAGTTTTTGTCTGAATTTGCATGAATTTTTACTCGACATTCTTAATTTGTCTGAATAATTTTTAAAAATTTTTGACATGGTATGAATTTGTCTAATAAGGTTCTTGATTTTTCTTGACAAGTGTCTTGACAGTATGAACATTGTCTTAAAATTTCTCGACACTTCCTGTATCATCTGATAAGAGTCTGGATTAGTCTCAACCAATTCTTGACTGTCTCAAATTTGTAACGATCTGTCTTGACATATTCTTGACATTCTTAATAATGTCTGAATATGTCTCGACATATTCTTGACATTCTAAATAATGTCTGAATATGTCTCGACACATTCTTGACAGTCTTAAATATGTCTTGACACTATCTCAACAGTATAAATTTCGGTAAACGGACAGAAAGTCACAGGACAAAAAGTCACAGGACATAAAGTCACAAATTTGATAGGACAAAAAGTCACAGGACAAAAAGTCACAAATAATTTGTTGACAATTGTTTGAATATATAAGAGAAAGATCTTGAAATATTTTCTTTTTATTACATATATTCATTTTTAAGTTTAGAAAATTGTTTATAAGCCTTCACAAATGAAAATTTATTAAATTTTAATTATGCAAAGGATATATTTCTTGGCACAATGAAGCCATTTAAGTACCAAGCCACTTTGGCATTTTGTTTTCATTACAATTATTTGATCAATATTGATATTTATTGAATAAATTTTAATAACAAAGTTGCTTCATATATAATAGTTCAAGAAAAAACTAAAAAAATATTTTTTAAATTAGTGTTTTCTTGTTAAAAGAAAAATAATCTCAAAACTGAATTGTGACTTTTTGTCCGTGACTTTTTGTCTGTGACTTTTTGTCCTGTGACTTTCTGTCCTACATTCTAAATTTCGCCTGAAATGTGAACAGACTTATTCTGCATTGTTTATGACATTCTATTGCTGTTATATACTCCTTTTTATTATGGCTAAACTAAAGTTTGAAGAATCAAGGATTAATTTGGTATAGTAAGATACCCTTTTGGTGCAACTAAGTTGGAATACCCTGAATAATCCCCCATGTAGTTTAATTTTGATTTATTTTTATTAAACATTTAAGTAATTGTTTTCACTTGGAATATAAGTCGAAGGTATTGACAATCAGCATTTAGATTTTTGCCGTTCGCAAAACTGCCAGTCAAATTTGCTTTACTAAAATAGGTGTCTTGTATCTCTTTTGGACCCCACAATTCATCTTTTGGGTTTGTGTGGCAAAAAAAAGAGGGCGGGGCTTTCGTTTAGGTCAACAGTCCAGGCGATTATTTATCCAAGTAATATTACGCATATCAGTAATATTACATGAACAAGTAATGTTTCTTATATTACAGTTATTCGTAATATAGTTGATTAGGAAGCGTTATCTCCCTTTACTCACAATCTTGTTAGAATTCTTCGTGTAACGCTCTCTTATAAAAGATCTTGTTACATTATTATTCACACTTTTTCAAATTAAGAAAACAATTTTAATGGTAAATTAAAAAGCATAACCAAACAAAAAACATTAAAACCCCAAAACAAACAAACAAATAAGCAAAGTAATTAAATGATTAATTAACTGATAAAAGAAAATATACAGATACAGATACTTTTATTTTGCTACTCTCAGAACAGCTTCCACTAGGTGCAGGGGCGCATGACATTTTACCGAAACATTTACAAAACAACATGGGGACATTTTAGCCTAGACATTATAGCCCATTTTAGCGCAAGACTAATCAGTTTACCTACATTTTTGATAGCCCATTTTATCGAAAACATATTCACATTTATATACGACATCTTACTGATAAAGGATATTAGTGATCAGAAATATTTAACATTTGTTCATGGTTTTACTTTTTTTCTTTGTGATATTGTACCTTTTTAGACTTAATTGCTTATTATATATATATATATATATATATATATATATATATATATGTCTCTGCTTATACCATGTATACCGTGAACAGTAATTTATTGTGGCATAAAGTTTAAAGTGTTTGCATTTACAATTTGGTTAATCATGGACATATATTATAATAGATATATCATTGACAATTTCATTGTTCGATAGAATGGATAAAAAACCTGTTACTAAAATGGGCTATACTTTGGCGCTGAAACGTCCGATTTTTTTTGCTTAAAAATCATATCAATGCGCTCAAATGTTCTCCGCCGAGGTGCCGATTAATTACAATGAATTATACATAAATAAATAAAACATCTCAAATAAAACTCACAAAGGCTATGTCAATGAACTGCATGTTATTTTTGTAGTTATGCTTGCTCAGTTTTATTTTTTGAATATTTTCAGTACCTTGAAGGGCGTAACTCTTTATAAACTGTATGCATCCGAATCGAAATTCTCGGTCTTCTCAATTTACTTTCACCAGGAACACCACGTAAAACTTGCAAATCGGACGACAAATAAACGACATATTTGTATTGTGAGATCGATATGATTTAGTAATGTTACCATATCAAAGGGTTCATGGTAATATGAAAAGGCTTTCTTGCGTAGGGAATTTACATTTTCGGGACCTTTTATAACTAACTATACCGATATGAGTTTCGCTCTTTGTTGAAGGCCTTATGATGGCTTTGGTGAAAAGTTTACTAATTGGCAATCGTACCCTACCATATTAACTTTTTTTTATTACGTTGTTATTTCGTTCATAATTACAAAACACAACATGTAGGTTTGTTAGTCATTACAAAATAGACTACAGAAAATGTAGTATATTTAATTCTTGTTTCTAATGGAAAAAACACCCTTACAAGTAAAATAAAATAGGGTTCAGAATGTACATTACAAAGTCATTATAGTTGTGAACTTATGAACGGGGGACTCTGGACTATTTACTGGAATAATATGATTATCTTTGTGAATTTTCAATAATTTGTAACAAACTTATCATATGAAGTTAAAATAAAAAATAAAAAAATATTTCATTTGACTGATTTTTAATAGCAAATAAAAAATTAGAAAATGCAATTAATTTCGGTTTAATTCGTGTCATATTACATATGAATTCTGTGTCTTGTCACATAATGTTTTTTTGTTCTTTTTTTGTATATCAGAAAGTAGCTATCGTCTTTTATAGCAACGATTTTATTAAAGGGATTCTGACAATAAGACGCGTGTTCAACATCACGCATGGCGAGTTGGTTAAGTGGTAATTACATACTTGATAAGTGAAATGACAGCTTTATTGTGTACACTCCCACGCAAATTGTTTAAGTTCAAGGTTTTCTCGCACCAGCATCATCAGCGTACTGCGATTTGAATGTAATCGATTATACACAGGACAGGTGGTTTCATTTGTCTTCACAACTTTGCAATGCTATGTATCATATCATGGATAAAACAAAACGCATACGTAATCTAAACTATCTAAAGCATGCAGTATTTATCATAATTTTTTTCCCAACATGATAAGAAACAAATATTCTCATATTGTAAGAG